CAGCCACTGGCAGGCTCCACGTGGGCCACCGCAGGCCCCTCCTCCCACCTGGCTTGATGGGGTCTCACTGGGACTCACTAGCAGTGAGGAGGAACTCAACGTCCACTAATCCTGAAGAAAGACCCCTGTTTGGCTTCCTCTCCAGGCCACCTATCACCACATCACAGAGCTGTGGCACCAGCATCAGGCCTGGCCCGGTGGATGAGCTAATCACTGAATGGAGAGGAGAGGAAAGGAGAGGAGAGAGCATGTTTCTATGTGTATGTGTGTGAGGGAGACAGAGAGAGGGGAGAGAGCTGGACCACCCACCCGGAGGATTCGGAGGCACAGGATTCACAGCCCATTCTGTTGACCTGCCACACCGCCCCAGCTCTGGGCAAGGCCCTCCCCAATTGTTCCGCTTGCTAACATGAGGAGGGGGGTTAGACAAGGGGGGATGGGGGGTGGACGAGCAGTAAACAGTGGGCTGAGCTTCTCTCCTTCAGCGCACAAAGGGCCTGAATTGTGTCGGGACTGGAGCACTTTTTAGAGTGGCCCTGCCATGGGGCCTGAATGAAACATCTGTGGAGGCTGAGCCCAAGGGAGAAAATGCTATTTTGCTGTTCGATCCACACTGACAACCTGTTTTCACTTTCTTTACCCCCCACCGCTTCACCCACCACCTCCACCCCTGAGTCTTAGTTCTCCCGTGGCCTTGTAAGACTATTCATACTGTATACTCACATTTGCCAAGCAAGTAACAGAGAAGCAACAGCAAATGAGAGAGAGATGAGACGACTTCAAAATTGGATTGAGGATGCAGTCATACATATGTTAAAACAAACAATATAAAGCTTAAAAACGTATTAAACAGTAGTAACACTGTATTGATCAAGTGTGCTAGCATCTCGATTTCAGTTTATATTTCAGCTCTGCTGATAGAAATACATAAATATTTTTGCCAAAATCTGAATTAAATTAAATTAAATTAAATAATTAAATTATTTTAGTATATTTATTTCATTTTAAAATTATTCATCAAGTTTATTACTAAGATTAAGAGATCATTATGGTTTGGTGTTGGTCAAACAACCAGTCAGATGTTCAGACAGGCAAACAGGACATGTACCCCAAATTTTGGTTGATAATTAAATATGCAATGTCTTGGGCAGAGGCACACCAAGTCAACGTGAATGACCTAGCAGCGACTGTCGCGTTGCCTCATGTCAGCTTTGCCTGGGCCAGTCAGGTTGAAAAAGTGATACTTGAGCACAGCGCACCACACAGACGACAGCCAACAGTCGACTAGTACATACGTTCTGTGCCTGCATGACAAATAACTCCCCCTACCAGCAGGTGGTGGTGTCTACATTCACCAATCAGAAAGGGAAAGAAGAAGAGCTAGAACGCTATAAACAAAGCACCTCTCATTCAAAACAGCTGCTGTTTATAGCTGCTTCTAATCAAGAACATCTCTGATAAGAAGTTACAAATGGCACTGATGTTCTCTGCCATTGGTCTTTTGGTTGTGGAAGAAGAAAGGAGGTAGTGGAGGTGAAAAACAATGAGAAACTGCACTAGACGTGTGAAATCATGGCTACTACAGCGACAGGCTGAAGGGGCTTTCCCGAATCATTCTCTTCTCATGCACTGATTCACTAAGCTCAACAGCCAGAGTGGTCTTTCTCTCTCACCGAAGAGGCCTGACTGGCCCGATTCAAAATATCAAATTGGCCCAAAATCTGGTGGCAGGGACCAGCAAGTGCTTAGTGGTGCAGGACACACCAGGTGAACATGGCCAACTCACCGATAGCCTAACGGTGGCCTTTGGCCAACCTTCAGCTTGGTGTGTCCTTTTTTCCTCTAATTTTGAGGTTTAGACTTAGTGTGCAGACATTACTCTTCTCATTGACACTGTTTTCCAATAACCTTGCACGCACATTGATAGAAATCATAGAAATCTTTGTTGTGTGAGCACAGTTACAGTAAGGACAGTAGGCCAAAGTTGAAAGAGGGAGTCAGTGTGTAAATCATAATGGATATTTATATTTATTTGTGATATTTATTTTGCAGTTTGCCTACATTTTGTACTTGATAAAAGTTTGGCTATCCTGGGATTTCTTTAAAACCTATGTGATTGTCTGACTTCATGTGTTTCTTGCCCCACTGAACTTCTTGGAATTGTTGCTGCTTTCTCAACAATTAACTAATGATAGCAAAAGCAATGATGGACAGAACTATAAGAATAAGATGCCAAGTTGTTATAAAGTGGATTGCTCATATAATTACTCAAGTGTGTGAGTTTGAAGGCTGGATATGCTGAATACAGTAGTGTATGGAGACTATCACGAGCGCCATGAACCTATCCATTCATCAACATCACATCTATAACCAGAAAGAGCCTCTGCACTCTCAGCCCTCTCTCCCCACAGTCCTGTCCTGCTCTATCATGAGGCTCAAAAAGAGAGACCACTGAGACATTTCAGTTTAATTGAAGGGGAAACAAAGATCCCTGCTTACTTCCTGGTCACCCCTTTTCTTTAATCAGTTTTCCTCCCTTTGGTCTTATATTATCTGTAATTACTTTCCCTTTCCCGCCCCTTGTGGGTTCCTCCTGGAGCGACAGTTCATACATATAAGGACATACACACACATTTATTGCTAACTCCCTACCGTAAGCAGGCAATTCCTTTGGCATCAATACTTGCTGCCCCCTTTCGCTCCTCCAGCCTGAACAATGGGAAAGGCCCACTGGCTCCAGAACCCCACCAAGCAACCCCTGACCCTGCCCACCTACTCTACTAAACCCCTGCGCACACACACACACACACACACACACACACACACACAGAGGATCATGTGTTATGTACTCTTATATTAAAGTCATAGACATTGTCACAAATGGACACACAACTCACACGAGCCTGCAGTGAATGAGGGGAGGGAGAAGACGAGGGAAGGGGAGGGGAGCAGGGTCCCATTAAATACCAGCTCAGCCTGTAATCACTGGAGTTTGAACTTAGAAGACTTCTTATGCTAAGAGGTCAAGAAGCCAGAACACTCATTCGCTCTCATCTTTCTTCTCCGCTGCCCTGTGTCAGTCACTTTCCTTGGTGAGTCTCTCTGACCCGTACATTGGTTACGTACGAGATGTGCCAGTGCTGATATCCTGAGGAAATCTGACTTATTATTGCGCTCAAGAGACACAAAGTGAATCTTTTGCCAAACTGAAGTTTTCTGGAAGAACCCAGCTTTATTTGTGAATATTTCCCAAGAGAGCTAATTAAATTCAACTTCCCTGCCAAAGAGAATATGAAGACAGTGCCCATAAATATAACATTCAGTGTTGAATTCACTGCTTACCTCAGGACATTGTGTGCACATCTGGATGAAAATGCCCTCCAAATTATACATCTTTATTGGACTTCACATTTCCCAAATATGACCACCCAGAGAACACAGCATGTACCACCCACACACTATTGAGTGGATTTATCACTCAGCTGATGCCAGTGTGCTTGATGAATGAAAGTGGGTTACACTATTGGCATGATTACTTTGTTTGATGGGAAAGCAAAACACCAGAAACCCCTACAGTATATAAATAAGTGTTAGCCATGAGAGGAAAGTTGTTACCTGCAGGCAACAAAAACAATGTGAATGCCAAGGAAAGTGCTTGTGCAATATTGTAAAAATAAAGACCTAAGGTGGTCTAAAACTGGCTTCCAGTTAGTCAGCAGTGTAGTGGGATTATACAGATAGGAAAACAGTGGTGTCACAAACGGACAGTGCAACAGCTATTTTTATTATTGTCAACATGATTTCTTTGCTTGACAGTTCAAAACCAATACAACCAATCACACTGGATTTGCTGAAACCATATGGACAATGGATCAAAATTGCTACACATTCACTTGTTCCAGTATCACAAATGCAGGGATTTCCCCCCTCCTTTATAGCGCTGTAAATTGCAGATCTTTTAGTTTTTTTTGTGGACTTTCACACTAAAAACAACCTTGTAGCTGTACTGGTAAATAAAATACAGTGTAAGAACTCCAGTTTGAGGAGGGTAAAAGATCCTTGAATTTGAAGACTTATTGGATACCAAAACACTGCAAAACAGACTTTACTGCTCTTGAAATCCCACTGATGGGACAGTCTGCGCTCATCCACTCTATTTCACCTTGAACAAACGTCTTAAAACAGCTATGGCATGCTTTAAACACCAAGATTTCATTTATATAAAGTGTTTTACAGTCCCCATATTACTGCAACAGCAATTTTTCATTTTTCAGCACTATGGCACATACAGCAGAACAATCGCTCCCTAACCTTTCTTTGTTGTTTGTATCCAATATGTGTATCCAAGTGGCCATAGCTGGATGTCGTTTTTATCACGAGATTCCAATGAACAGAATCCACCCAAACAGCAGCCCAGCAAACATACTGTCATGTAGAACCGGAGTAATTCTATTGTGATTTCGATAAGTGGTTGTCATGTGTAATTCTATTGTGATTTCGATAAGTGGTCTTCATTTCATCTTGTATTACACTCATTTCTGGGCCACTTGCTAACCCAACGACGCCATTTTGTAAAGTTAGTTAGGCTTCTTCTTCTTTGGTGGTTGGCATCTATTGTGTTGCATTACTGCAACCTGCTGTCTGAAATCCATGTCAGCTCCCCTTTACTCCATATTCTGCTAATCAGTCCAGTTGTCCTCAAATAATAGTACAGAAGCTTTCTTCTCCTACATCCATATTATAAAATACTGCAAACTAATTTCTGATAATATTAATTTTTGTAACTGAGTAATAATTTCTGATATTTCCTCTGCATATTAACAGCATGAAATGACAACATGCTGTATAGATTCTGTTTTCTGTTTTCCTACTATGGACACACTATACACACAGCACTGTTGTAAAAGGGCAGAGAACATAATCAGGGATCCACGCCACCCAGCTCACACTCTGCTCAGACACAAAAACTGCACCTACAGCCTCAGGCACAGCAGGGCGGACAGTATCATCACACACAGAACAAGACTTTACAACAGCTTTTTCCCAGTAAGACTGATGGCAAATATGAAAAAGTGAAAAATGTGAGAATATATGTGCAATAACCCCTCACTACATCACCAAGCGTAATGACATATCCAACTCCACCATGTGAATTACTAAGTGTGATGTTTGAAGTTCACTGTGGGAAATACTATTACTCTATTTTTGTGTATTGTGTTTTAATACTTTGTCACCCTTATGTAACTTTTTATTTTAAGGCTAAGTGTTCTTTCTGGCTTTTGACTCCTTACCTGACTCCAAAGGAAAGCTGCAGAAAAATTCCTATATGCCTAAACTGTCTATTTATGCATAAATGGCAAATAAAAGTCTTGAATCCTTGAAGATGTTTCCCTATAATGAATAATGTGCTGTTGAGATTACTATGCCCAGTCCTCATCTGCTAATTGTTACCTGTTGTTTTCTTGAATCAGAATCGGCCACAAGGAATTTTCCTTTGGTACAGTGGCTCTCAGTGTGTATGTACAATGTTCTGCCATAAAACAATGAGTAGACAAGTAAATAATATAACACTGAAAATAAAAGAAAGAGAATGTGCAAACCAGAAAAAAGAATGTACTTTAAGGAAAAAAAAAACTCGGATGCTGCTTTGCCCTCATCTTATTTTGTAATGAATGCTGATGTCTTCCCTTCCCAACTTTCCTTTCAATCTTATATAATTTTCTTCCACACCAAACTGTTCCTCTCTGATTTTAACAATTTAATGTTGTTTTCAGTATGTATCTTATTGACAGCTTACTCAGATAGTCTATCTACCTTCTCATTCCCCAGTACTGTATATCAATGTGTGCTGGCACCCACATCAACCTGATTTCTTTGCCTTAACCGACTACTGTAGAGCTTGATACCAGAATTTCATATAGTCGATCTTGGTGGTTTTTATTAATACTGAGCCAATACACAGCTCTGCCCATGTACACAAACTCACAAGCATTGACTCAGTGATTGTAGCCTTTGGTGCTCATCAGGTCAGTCAGTGAAACTGTGACACCTGGAGGCTGTGAGCCTGGATGTTCTGTTTTCAGGCTTAAATGTGGTTTGTTCCAGTAACCCCTGAGCAAATACAAGCCATTAGTGGGCAGGTGTGTGTGTTTGGAGGGGGGGTACAGTTTAGGAACAGGCTCTGTGTGGGGTATAAAATGAAAATTAGAGGGTATGACCTCATTGTCATTTACTGTAACACACATTGCCCATACAGTCATTAGCTCAACCATCAGTTCTGGGGCTCCCATAATGCTCAGGGCCTGTTTCAGACATCACGTACAAGATGTGTGGTACTGTGGTCAGTAGTTAAGAATATAGTCTGAATGGAGTTTGTTCATTAAAGACTAAGAGACGCTTGTTGTTGCTATCACACTGGGGGCCCACCTGTGACTGTGTGTGAGCATGTGTGTGTATTTTGTGTATTTGATTGCTTCATACACACACACACACACACACCCAAATAAGAGCCCACCACAGAAGGTGTACAGATGTGCTGCTGGCTATAAGCAGAGGTAGGTCTTGCATTCAGAAGTGATAGCTTTCATGTGGCATATGGCAGTAATAGTGAAATCTGACACAATTTCCATTCTTAAATACTGTATATGACTAGAGAAGGAAGACAGATTGTAACACCATTTAGAGTAAAAGGAATATTCATAACCTTTACATATGGACACTGAAAAGACACAAACACAATCATGGAGTTCCACTTCGCTGGTAGTTTGTGTGCAACTGGTGGTTGATTTTGTTTGTGTTGGGGATTTTGGTCAAATACATGTTTAGCTTGATTTCAGAACCACATCAGTAGGATGATCACCAGCTCCTTCCTCAACACAAAACTTAACCCATTTTTCTCCTAATCACATGCACATATCAAGAGCTTTGTATCGGTTTGTAAAACTACACATGCAAACAGAATTATCCACTCAAGCACAATAACTGTATTTGTGATTGAACATTAAAGGATCAGCTCGCCCCAAAACACATTCTCTCTATTCATATGCAAAGCATTTTTGAAATATGGGTGTGAACTGAAATATTGCATTTAAATACAAATGTACAGATATGCTATGGGCTCTGTGATGCTCCATAGGCACAGCAGTGCTCATAGCTAACATGCTGATGTATATGCTGACCTTGTGTACCATCTTAGTTTATTGTTCTGGGACACTGACATTAGGTATTTAGTACAAAATAAAAAAATTTGGTTTTGTGTTAAGTTCAAGCAGGAAGACACCTGTTAGGTGTCGTTTGCACCAGTCAGTGTGCGAACGAGAAAGAGGCGGACCCAGGGAGCCGACTTCGGTGCATGCAGTGATTTATTATATACAGTGATGAAGGGAGTAACAATACATAGAGGGAAATAGTACATAGTCCTGTCGATGAGTAGTAGCCGGGTATTTGACCAACCGCAGGAGGCGAGGAGATGGAGAGCTGGGTCGAGCTGTGTAGGCTGGGTCACTCCTGGGCTGGTCAGTGGTGATGGTGGCTACTGAAGGTAGAGACAGAGAGATGATGACAATAGTAGAACAGATAGGCGACTGTGCATTGACCTGCCTGGGAGAAGAGAGTGGAGCCACGGTCCGGAGGAACAGTCCATGGGGGGGAACACAAAACAGTAGCTGGCTAGGGAATAAATACATACAAAACAATGAAAACGCACGGAGTAAAGTTGGCCTAGAGACTAGAACGAACTGGCAACCGGGTAATATAGTGAGTAACCTAATCAAGTGCAGCTGGTGATAAGGGAGTGAGGAACAGGTGAACGTGATTAGTGTAAATGGGCAAGAGACAGTAGGAAAGGTGAGGGAGGCCAGAGCGGCCGAGCAAACCTGACAACACCATTATTTAGCAGCACACTATGGATACAGTTCTTTGGTTTCTGCTTTGTTGTCTATTAGCAAATGATCATCTTAGCCAAGCATATTTAAATCTCATTACCTACATAGTATCTCTGCTGTCATTGACACCTGTAAATATGATATAGTTCAGTATAACACCACTTTTAATTATGACCTCAATAATAAACATATAATTGAATTAATACATTTACGACAATTTCACCAAGAGCTGGACCATTTTGAGTTCCATAAACACAGATGTTAAGGTGGATGTTTTACACTGAATTGCATACAATTGTACAGGTGTACCCAATAAAGTGTCCAATAGATAGATAGCTATAAAATCCATCCAGTAGTTGCTGAGAGACATTTCTAGAAATTCTCCTTCATGTTACAAGCGCAAACTAGTAGTGGTAGTATAAGTCTCAGTGCCCAGTATCTAAACAAATAAAACCAACATTATCCTCATGGAAAACACCATTGGAGGTAAATGAGAGAACATGTTTTTTTTTCTCTGTTTTTGTTTTTTTACTCAAACCAAGTGGCTTTCCAACATAATGAATCTAGGGTCCGGTTCCAAATTCAGGATAGCTCCTTATCAAGAGAACCACAAATGTAGCAGATAATAACAGGTCTGCCAATACTAACTAACTTCATCTGCCATTTAGCCTCCTAATAATGGCAGGTAGACTGCAAGTCTTTCTCTGTGTTGGAGTGCAACCATAAACTCTGCTCTGACTCACTGCTGCCAGGATTGATAGTGAAACACATGCATATGTACACAGCCAAATTTGTCTCACTTCCTGACAACACTAGCCCACCACCACCACCACCACTTTATTTTAAGTTCCTTCAGGAAAAATCTCCAGGCTTGTTTATTCCCATCAACTTCCTTTTGATCCAGTCTCTCAACAAGTGCCATGCTGAGGGCACAATGGGGTCCTAGTTTTCCTAGTACTACGACGCAGGGTATGGCCAGTAATGACCATGGGGAGGGTTATGGTGCAAATGGCGGTGAAACAGTGGGAGCAGAGCAGGGGTGTCCAGCAATGCTCCACCGAGTGCTTTCATCTGCTCTGATAAGGGCCATACCTAATCAGGTTAAAGCAGCACATGTCGTGGAAAGAGAGGAAATTCCAGCCAAAACGGTAACGTATCTGTTCCGCTCTCATGCGTCGCATTCCTTCAGCTAATTAGGAATAAATATCTGACCCCGGAGAGAAAATGTCCACATTAGTCCAACCAGTCAGTCAGTGTGGTCCATCTGCACTCTCTCTTTCGTTTTCCTCACCCCCTACATCTCCCCCTCTCTCCCTGATTTGGCTCACAGATGACCAAAAAAAAAAAAAAAACTTTGTAGAGTTCTCAGTAGGTTTCTTTCTTTTTTCTACAGCTCCCCTCCTTTTCTTCTGAAGCATTAGGCCCCATCATTACTGACAGGCTATC